AAGCCTCATAGAATTCATCAATAAAAAAATAAAATTATAACAAGCATAGAAAATCTGGAGCTCTAGATTTCCAGTTTTTCACTTCTAATGGTTAGCCAGACATACGCGTAATTTATAGTTTGAAAAGTATGGTTATCAAGACATACGCGTAATTCCACTCAAACTTGGCGATCATTCAATGAACTCAATCCGCCTTGTTCTCCTTCTTCAATTTACACCTAATCAACATTCTGCAAACTTCTATACAGAAAAACATTCCAAAAACATTTATATAAAGTGACAAAATGCCACTAGCCATACAACAAACATAAGCATCACAAACAGATGGCTTTCTCCATTATTCCCATCATATTTGCTTCAACTTTGATCTTCTTTTTCTTTATATTAATACTGATAGGAATTCTCTGTCCAGGGAAACATTACCCAGGATCCAGTGGCCATGTGCGGGATAATGAAGGTCGCAACCGTCACACGGTTGACCTTGAAGACCCTTCTGTTGGTCCAGATGTTAATAATGACTACTGGAAGGACGGCACTGGGGGTGGTGATCATGGTCATTGGGACCATGGATTTCATGGTGGAGGTGGGTTTTCCGGCGGTGGTGGAATAAGTTTTGACACAGGAGGTGGAGGAGGAGGTGGGTTTTCCGGTGGTGGTGGAACAAGTTGCGACACAGGAGGAGGAGGAGGAGGTGGTGGTGGAGGAGGAGGAGGAGGAGGAGGAGGAGGAGGGGGGTAGTGGAGGTGGTATTGAAAGATTTGCTAGCTGTTGGATTATAATTAAGGGATTGCTCACAAAATCATGTGGAGTATATTGCATATATGGTATATGTAGTCATCACCATTCCTTATCAGTGATGGATGGTGCAATTTTTTATTTAGTTCACTTGTACAAAGGTATGTATTACTCTCTTTTTTTTTAAGTTATCATGAGAATTCCTTTTACAAGCATAATGATCTTTTCCTTCAAAAAATTGAATTTTGCGGAAATTTAATATAATGATTGAAATTGCTGAAATTAGGGATGCTTGACCGTGGTGCATGACTGGATTTATTGTATCGGACATCTAATTTTTTTCTATTGAACTTCTGAAGAGGAAATCTTTGAGCTTGGTTATCTAACATATGGTCCCTAGTGGTCAAAACTCTAGTCATTTTTTTTTTTGGAAAAGGCGGAGCCCACTTGCTAAGTCTAAATTGGCCGATTTAACGGATACATACTCATTTCATATTTGAATTTTATTTTTTTTCTACAAATTCAAATCACATGAAATTTTAAGCATTCATTTTTCTCATCAAGGCACACTTAACAAAAATATTAAAAATAATTAAAAAATATAAATTATCCAAAATATCCTGAAAAGAATTGGGGTATTTTAGTTCATTTATTTTTCACTAAATGGTTTTTTGATATTTTTATTGGATTCTACTATTTTTAAAGAATATATGCTCAAAATTTTAGATGATTTAGATTTAAAAAAAAAATTAAAATTTAAATACAAAATACAATTGTGATTAGGTCAGCCCCAGATTAGGCCGTTGGGCTCATATATAGATATGAGCTAGTGGGTTCATGTCGGCCTTTCCCTTTATTTAAATATAAGGTGATTCTTATTTATTTTCCTTTACTTTTTCCAATTTTAACGAGGGCTACTTATTTCATGCTTGAACTCAAAGAAGAGAGAAAAAAATAAATAAAAAGAAGAAGAAGAAGAAGAAGAGTGAGAGGGAGAGAGGGAATTAAGATTTTGACATTAGCTTACTTTGTTGTGGTGATTGCATTGGGATTTCTTCCCCTCGGCAGTGGAAGAACAAAACAATGATTTCTCTTAATTATTTCTCTCTAGGTAGTTTGTTACCGGTGGTTCTGTAATTTTAGATCTCCAATATTGTATTGACAATCATTCTTTGTTAATTATTCCATATGTTATTTTTTATTTGTCCTCTCTCTGTATACAGTTTGGTACATAGCGTTCTTTTGGGCCCGGTTTTTATGAGTTTTTGTAGACATGAGGCACCTCTTAAAAATCTATTTTTGAGATGGATTTTTTTACTTAATTTCGAAGAGCATGTAATCTTTATCAGCAAGATTTGTAAAAAAAATTTAGTTTCAAATTTTATTGGTAGTATTGAAAATTGATTTTAAAACCATTATAGAGACTTCCTTCGTGGAATGTCTTTTCGAGACAGATTTGAAGTGAGGCTTTATTTCGTTTTCATTACGCATAAGCTTTATAGAAACTTCATCCTAGTTTTAAATCAAAGTCAAAACACCAGACGATCGCCATACATTATTGGAGGCTTATCGGAACTCAATCGTGTGGAATTTGAACATAACATTCAAAATTCCAGATTAGTTTGTATCGTGGTTCGCTTTCAACTCGTAGATTATTAAATCCTGATCCTTTTCTAGGATCATTGGGGATTGATCACCAGTATACTCACCAAGTTTCGCAAAGTTTTCATGGTTTTTTTAAACGCTTTATCCGTATTCTTTCTATTTTGACTTTTTGGATAAAAAACAATCGAAAAACCTGTCCTACTTTCTATCCTTAATAATAGAAGGAAAAAATGTTCCATATTTTTGGAAAATAGAAAATCCCTTCTATTTCGAGTTTTTTTAGTCAAAACCTAGAAGGGAAAACGTTTGAATTATTTGTCAAAATAGCCCCTTCTATTTATTTTTATGGGAAAAAAAAGGTATCAGAAAGCTTTCTTTTTTTTTGCACGTCCCATTTCAATAATTCCGAAACTGTCTAGATATTTATCTCATGGAGTTTTTTAAAAAATAATTAATGAGATACCTTGTTAATTATATTTAAGATTAATATATGATAAACATGAAACTTACTTTATAGAATCCGAATAATATTCAATAAATTGGATTCAACGTATTTTTTTGGTAATAATAATTTGAAATTAACCAAAAAATAATCAAGTTCCTTCCATCCAAAAGAAGTGTTTTAATATCCATTAAAAATAGTATTTAAAACCTATTCTCCAAGAAAAATAAATTCTTAAATAAAACTTGTAACTAAAAACCCAAAAAAAAAAAAAAGGACATTTTTTTTTTTGAGTTTTAATAATAGTGAAAAATTCACTATAAACTTGATAAAAATAAGATATAATGTGTAACAAAATAAATCCAAGTATATCGAGAGAAATCATCAATAAAACACATATAGTAGTGAGCACCACCTATTGAAGGAACAAGAACATAGCCCCATATATCATAATGGACAAGTTCAAATTGTGAGATAGTAAAAGTCTCATGATACAATTGCTCAGTTATCTTGTCTTGATATTGATGAACATAATGGGGTGAATGAAAACCGTCACAAAAAATGAGAGCCAAAAATAAATAAAAGATACAATTGCTAAATTATCTTGGGTGCAGTTGACATACGATTGCATCCGTAGCTGTAGAGGCAAGTTGCACCTTCAAATTTTATCATGGTATATAATTTTGATGTAAAATGTTTTCAGGATTATCTCAAAATCTAGTTTTATATCTAATTATAAAATTTTAAAATTGGTTAAAAACAAGTAGATCTATAACCATATGAAAATCTTGAAAATGGACGGTGTAGATAATATATTGTAAAATGTACTATTTTTGAGACTTAAAATCTTTTTATTTTTCATGATCATGTCGAGATGATCAATCGAAAGGTTTTTCAGCATTAAAACTATCTTTTCCGATGGATTTTTGAGGTGTATCTGTAGCTGTAGAGGTAAGGTTGCAACCTCATGTAAACTATTTCCATTATCTTGTCCTTGATACTCCTGCGCATAATGGGTTATAAACGAAAACCGTCACAAAAAAAAAGCAAAGCCAAGAAATAAAGAAAAGATTATCACTGTTGCACATATCCGAATTTCTCACTCCGATATTTTGCAAAGTTCCTCGTCTCTCTCTCTCTCTCTCTCACACGTCATGGCATAGGGTTTGACCAATTCTGACGTGGACAAAATTTATATGGACAACTAGGATAGAGATAGGGCATTATGCGTCCAATTGGCAAATTCCGATAGCCGAAATTTCTGTGGATTAGAGTGGACCGCATTGTTTAAAATTGCTTTTTCCCATTTTGCCCCCAATAAAATTAATAAAGGAGCAGTTTACACGAAAATAAACCTAAAAAAGTTCTCCTTCTTTATGCGTTTGGGAGAGTGTTAACTTTTTCTATTTTATTTTTTCTGATTCATCTCATTAGCTCAAATTTGTGGGAGTGCATACTCTTCTCTTTCCCTAAAAAAACAAGACCTTTAAAGAAATATCATAACTAAAATACTCCTCAATCTTATAGGGATATTTTTGGCTATTGTAATATTTATATTATTTTTTATTTTTATTTTTCTTTTAGAGGTGTGGCCGGAATTCAAGTTAAACCAATTTATGACTGGGACTTTTTTTTGGATAATTTAGTGGGAAAACACACTCTATCAAATTTCTCAAATAGCTTGAAAGTTCATTTTTTTATGATGTTAGGGGTGTGGTGTCGGCATTTTCTCAAATAGTTTGAAAGTTAGGTTTTTATCATGTTAGTGGGGGGAACGAAAACCCAAGTTAAATTTTTATGATGTTAGTGGAGTGGTGTCATGGGAATGAAAATGGTGAATAAGGTATAGGGGTGCTACCACCGTGATCCATTCTTTTTTCCGAAAAAAAAAAAACATGGGGCTCGAGTTTAAAGAAATTTGGACTTTTGGGTAAATTTGCCTTTTGTGAAGTCTTCTCAAGAAAAGCCTCATAGAATTTATCAATAAAAAATAAATAAAAAGACATAAGTGTATTTTCTACTTTTTCTCCTTCCGTCTTTTTGAAAAGTTTTGAAATGGTCCGTCCACTCAAACTTCGCAATGGCTCCATGAACTCAATCCGTGTTGTTCTCCTTCTGCAATTTAGACCCGTAATCAACATTCTGCAAACTTCTATACAGTGACAACATTTCAAATATATATATATAAAGAGACACACAGCCATTAACCATACAACAAACATAAAGCATCACAAAGAAATGGCTAATTCCCCACCTTTGTACATTATTCCCATCATATTTGCCGCAGTGGTCATCTTCCTTGTCTTGATATCAATACTGATAAGAATTTTCTGTCCAAGATACCAAGGATCCGTTGGCGGTATGACGGACATTGAAGCTCACAAGCCTGACGCGGTTGAAGTTGGAGGCCCTTCTGGTGATGGTCCAGCGGATACAGGTGGTGATAATAGCCAGTTGGACACCGGATATGACGGCAATGGAGGTGATGATCATGGCCATTGGGACCATGGATGTCATGGTACTGGAGGTGGTGATCATGATCATTGGCACCATGGAGATCATGGCGCCGGTGGTGGGTTTTCCAGTGCTGGTGGAATAAGTAGTGACACAGGAGGAGGAGGAGGATGGGAGTTTTCCGGCGGTGGTGGAATAAGTAGTGACACAGGAGGAGGAGGGGGATTTTCGGGTGGTGGAATAAGTATTGACTCAGGAGGAGGAGGGGGGTTTACGGGTGGTGGAACAAGTAGTGACACAGGAGGAGGGGGATTTTAGGGTGCTACTAGTATATTGTATACATGGTGTATGTAGTCATCACCATCCTTTTTCAGTTATGGATGGTGCAATTTTTATTTATTTCACTTGTACAAAGGGATATATGAGAATTCTTTTTACAAGCATGATGATCTGTTCTTTCAAAAAATTGAATTTTCCCTAAATTTAATACCATGATTGAAATTGATGACATTAGGAGCGGTTGCCCCACTAAAATAGCATATATTATAGTAAATTATTTAGACCATCCATTTGTCCCTGAAAATTAAGCGTTGAAAGATCCGTAAAACATTTTTTTAGTTTCAAATGTTATCGTCGGTATTGAAAATTGATTTCAGAGCCATTATAGAGATTTCCGTCTTTTCGACAAGATAAAAAAAGAAATTTACATACGGACCGGGGCCAAACTTGAAAATAAATAAATAAATTTGGGGATCCATTGTTTCATGTAATAATGCTCTATTTTCGGGTCATTTCATTATAACAGGACAAAAACCCAGCCTATATATGAATTTTTCCAAAAAAAAAAATTCCAAAAACCTGTTCTATTTTCTATCCTTAATAATAAAACACAAAATGTTGGATATTTTTGGAAAATAGAAAATCGTTCTATTTCAAGGTGTTTTGGTCAAAAAAATAGAAGGGAAAACAATTGAATTATTTGTCAAAAGAGGAAACCCCTTCTATAGGACCTTCCTCCACCCTTGTGTGTAGGACCCCAAAGGATCACCATTAAAGTTGGCATGGATCTCTAAAAAACTTATCACATGGGTGTGGGACTTGACTTTTCTATAGATCCGTACGAAATTTAATGGTAGCCCTTTGGGGTCCTACACACATGGGTGGGGGAGGGTCCTATAAGACCATTTCTTTTATTTTTTTGGAAAAAAAAAGTTTCAAAAAGCTTTCTTATTTTTTCGTAGATCCAAAAAACAATTAATGAGATACCCTATTATATGTAGAATTCGAATAATATTCAATAGATTGGATACTACGTATTTTTTGGTAATATTAATTTAGAATTAAGCAAAAAAAACATCAAGATGCTTCCATTCCAAAAAAGTGTCCCAATTTCCATGAAAAATAGTATTGAAAATAAATAAATTCAAAACCTATTGTCCAATAAAAATACATTCGTGGATAAAAAGGGTGCGGTTTCTATAAGGTTGTAACTTTAAACAATCCAATTAAGGCGGACCTTCAAATTTTATCATAACATGTAATTTTCGTATAAAAATTTCTTAAGATTATCTGAAAATCTATTTTCATTTCTAATTATAAAAGTTTAAACTCCAAAAATAGTTAAAATCAAGTAGATCTATAAACATATGAAAATCTTGAAAATTGACGGTCTAGATAATTGTGTTGCAAGATGCACTATTTTTTAGACTCAAAATCTATTTTCCTTTTTGTTTTGGTCAATTTCATACATCTTGATGTCAAGATGATCAATTAGAGGTTTTTAAGCATTAAAACAATCTTTTTCAATGGATTTTTAGATGCATTTTAAATTTTACCTTTAAAATTGCAACCTTTTTCCTGGATAAAAACTCGTAACTCTAAAGTCTAAACCCAAAAACCACAAACAAAGAACTTCGGTACAAAAGAAGAGAAGTCATTTCACCGTTTACACATATCCAAAATTTCCACTCAGATTTTTTTTAGACCAATGTGCTATATTCACCGTATTTTAATTTATAATATTATTGCTGATCTATATTTTCCACCTTAATTTTTACATTCGATTTGTCGGACCGAAAACGACTTAATTTGTAAATCACCGACTTGCTAAGTATGCTCAATAAGCTACTTACACAAGATGCAAGTCTAAGCAAAGCATTTGGGCTCTCTGTGAATAGAGTTCAAACTTCAAAAAAAAACAATTCAAACTTTGTAACACATCCCAGCTATCAAATTTCACACCAAATAGTTTTAAGGAATTGTGATCGTATCAAAGGTAAATAGTCTCTTTATATATAAAGTTTTTAAATTGTATTTTTTTTGTTCATCTCATTAGCTCAAATTTGCGGCGTGCATACCTCTCACTATCCCTTATATGTAAAAATATAAAAATAAGATTTATCAAGAAAGAAAAATTGTTTCATCCAGGCTGGACCGCATTTCTACATATGCGGTTCAGAAAGTGTAAAGCATCCATCATAAAGATGGATGCAAACAGGTGTTCCATCTAAAAACAATAGAAACTAACGGTCCAAACGTTTTCTTACTAAAATTATTAATTTAATTAAAAAATTATTTATTTTTTATATTCATGATCTCCATTTTAGAGATTATATGTCTTTAAAAATTAAGTCTTAAAATCCATCTAAAAAATAGATTTATTAATAAGCCCGCATTTCTACATATGCAGGCTTGGCCGAATAAAAACCGGGTCCATAAAGAAATAGCATATCTAAAATACCCCTGAATCTTATTAGGGTATTTTTGGCTATTGTAATTATTGGATTACTTTTTTATATTTTTTCTTTTACACTCGAGCTTAATCCTATTCACTATACACTTTAAAAAAGCGTAATAACTCAATGGGGGAAGACGTGCCTACCCGTTATTTTAAATCATTTAGGAGTTAAATTTTTTTGATAGTGGTGGTGTCATTGGAATGAAAACCACTGAGTGGTGATTAAGGAGTAGGGGTGTTACCACCACGATTTCAGCCCTTTATACAAAATTAATAATAATAATAACGATAATAATAATAATAATAAAAGAGTAAAAATGAGGCTCAAGTATAAAGTTATGTTGGAGTTTATCTTTGAATTCCAAAAAAAACATTTTGGAGTTTTGGGTAAATTTGCCTTTATAAAGTCTTATCAAGAAAAGCCTCTAGAATTCATCAATAAAAAAGAAATAAAAGAAACACGTGTATTTCTAGTTTGTCTCCTTATCTTTTTGGAAAGTCAAAAGGATTTCACACTTTGAAACCCAAAACCTGGAACTTGAAATGGTCCACTCAAACTTGGCAATCCCTCAATAAACTCAATCCGCGTTGTTTTCCTTCTTCAATTTTGACCTGTAATCAACATTTTACAAACTTCTATACAGAGTTCACATTCCGAAGACATGTATGTAAAGAGATAAACAGCCATCAACCATACGATAAACATAAGCATCACCGAGAATCTGTTGGCGGTGTGCCGTATATCGAGGGTCAGAATCATGGGACGGTTGAAATTGAAGGCCTTGATGATGGTCCAGATGATATAGGTGGTAATCATCGCCATTGGGACACCAGATATGACAGCACTGGAGGTGGTGATGATGGCCATTGGGACCATGGAGGTCACGGCACTGGAGGTGTTGATCATGGTCATTGGCACCATGGAGATCATGGTGCCGGAGGTGGTTATCATGGCCATTGGCACCATGGAGATCATGGAGCCGGAGGTGGGTTTACCAGCGGCAGTGGAATAAGTTGTGACACAGGAGGAGGAGGAGGAGGAGGAGGAGGAGGTACAAAATCATATGGAGTATATTGTTTATACGGTGTATGTAGTCATCACCATTCCTTATCAGTGATGGATGGTGCAAATTTTTATTTATTTTATTTGTACAAAGGGATGTATTACTTTTTTATTTTTATTTTTTTAAATTATTTTGAGAATTCTTTTTACAAGCATACTGATCTGTTCCTTCAAAAAATTGAAGTTGGCATAAATTTAATACCATAATTGAAATTGATGACATTAGGGATGGTTGCCCCTTTTGCATGACTGGAATATTGTATCTGGCATTTAAATTTTTTCACTGAACTTCAGAAGATGAAATGTTTTAGCAGGGTTATCTAACATATGGTCCTTAATGGTGAAAATTCCAGCCCATTTTTACTCTGATATCAGGTGATTCTTATTTATTTTACTTTAGTTATTATCATTTTTAACGAGATTGGGGATTGTAATTCAAGGACCTGTCACATATCCCATACTTTGAACTCAAAGAAGAGAGGTAGAGAAAAAAAAATAACAGAGAGAGAGAGAGAATTAAGATTTGACATTAGATTACTTTGCTGTTGTGATTTCATTGAGATTTCTCCCCCTGGCCAGTGGAAGAATCAGACAATGATTTCTGTTAATTATTTCTCCCTCCATAAATTGTTACAAGTGGTTCTATAATTGTAGATCTCCTATATTGTATTGACAATCATTTTTTGTTAATTATTTCATCTGTAATTTTTCATTTTGTCTTCTCGTTGTATACAGTTTGGTGCATATCATTCTTTTGCCCGCCCTAGTGTAGTATTGTTGTGGGTAAGTCGCCTGAGTCCACTCGGACTCAGGAGTAACTCGGCCTTGTCCTTTCTCCGAATTGGGAGCACAACTCTAGGGTATAAAAAATTTTCAAATTTTATTTAAAAATCGTTGGATTTTTTTATAAACTTTTTGTACATTATTTGGATGTATTTAGCAAAGATTGATTAGTGTTTTTTTTCTATACTATATTTATATTTTCTTCCTTTTTTGTATTTTTTAAATGTCCCATACTATAAATTGGTTTTTTCTAAATCCATTTGTTCTCTACATTTTTTAGTTTGTTTTAAGCTTTTAAGGTTGTTTTAGGTATAAATTTACATTTAGTACATGTTTTTTTCCTTTCTAAACTTCTTAGCCAAGTAACTCACCTCGGCCTCACAGCTGGGAGTGAGTCTCGAGATACTGAGTGGTATTTTCTTTTTATCGTTTATCTTTTTCAATACTCAATGAGAAATTATTGTTAGATATGGTGATTTTCAAAATTACCTACATAGGAAAATTCCATATTATATAGGATTGGGATTGATATTAATAAGTTTCCTAAAAGAAATAGAATCCAACTAGCTTAGGATTCGTGGTTATATCCCTTAGTTTTTTAGATATATGTATGACCAATTTTCTATTTAGTGTTGATTCCTAACTTTGTGTATATGAGATAAAAGATGGAAGAATTGACGTGTCGTATTTGGGTCACCATATGAGAAATGTGGCTTCCTCATTAAAGATCCCTTTAGAAAGACCAGGCTCCCTTGAGAGAGAAAATAGTTTCCTATATAGAGAAGCATTGCGATGGTGCTTCAATAGACTGAGAGACTACTTTCTTGTAAAGAATAAGTTCTTATAAAAATTTTGGGTGTTTTTATTTTAGTTAAAAGAAGTGTGCTCTCAAGGTTTTCCACCTGTATAATAACTTAGTTATGGAATAGAGGTAGTTTTATAGAGAGAAATATTACACCTCGTATAGACTGAGAGACTGGTGTCTTATAGAGAAACGGTTCTAATGGAAATTTTGATTGGTTCTCTTTTCAGTTAAAAAAATTGTAGGTTGCTCTCAAAGGTCATATGCATGGATAGAGGTTTAGTTGTAGAATAAAGATAGTTTTCTTATGGTACAGGGATTTAGTTGTAGAATAGAGATAGTTCTTGAAAAGTAATTTAGATATGGGTTTAATCGAAAGCGTGGGTTTAAAAAGGTTTAGACATGATATTTAGGTTTAAAAAAGTTTGCTCGAGTGGGTTTTATGGATGGTTAAAGATGTCAATTAAATGTCCCAAAATCTTTATGTAACTTTCAACTTTGACCTTTTTGTAATTTGATAATCGCCGCACATCTTTGGAGGCTTATCCGAACTCAAACGTGTGGGATTCGTACATTCAAATTAAAAATTCCAACGATTTAGCCGGACCGCAGTTGCACGTCTCAAACAGCAAAAACTGATACTTTGTATTGTGGTTCACTTTCAACTCGTGCATTATTAAATCCTGATCCTTTTCTAGGATGATTAGGGATTGATCACCAGTATACTCACCAAAAGCTTTGTGTTGCAACAACCAGTATCATGGATTTTCACTTGCAAACCATTGTGGTTCAGATTGATTTGTACTTGGGGGTTTATCTTCGGTGATATTGAGCTAGAACCATTATGCATCAATCCAGGAACACATCTATATAAAGGATTCGGTACTCCACAAGCTTTACCACGTTTATTTTGCTGCATACGCGGAGAACCCCATGGTTTTTTTATATATATTTGAGTGATTTACGTACAGATTTAGGTAAAATACCAAATGTTTAAATTATATGCTAAAATTACAAAGGTCAGTCAAAATGCAATTTTTTTTTTTAATTTCAAAATTGTACCTCAGTCAACTCGAATTTTGATTAATGATTTTTAGTTTTTTTTAGCTTTTTCGTTAGTAGGGCATGCCTTAAAGTTTGAGGTACTACCCTACTAAAGAAAAAACTAAAAAAATTACTAATATTAAAATTTGGGTTGATCAAGGAGCAATTTTGAAAAAAAAAAAAAGCCGATTGGCTGACCTTCTTTGTAATTTCATAATATAAACAGATCATTTTATATTTTACCTAAAATTTTAGTGTACCTACATTTCAAAATGGTTAACTGAAACGCAATTATTAATTCCACATGTAAAGTGATCCGTTTTGGCACAAAATCTCTAGAACTTGAGAGTTATCCAATGATTCCATTGAGTTTGAAGATGCTAAACATGAGCCTCAATTTTCAATTTGGGTCCTCAAAAACTTAAAAACATTTCAGGTTTGAAGTAGTTTACTAAAACAACAAACAAGAATGATTGTGACCTTCTTGTACAAAAGATAAATAGTCTCTTTATAGACAACCCCATTCAATATAAACGGTACAAATAATCGTATTTGTGATAAATGTATATAATTAATATGAAACTTTTGCATAACAGAGGTAAAAAAGTTTAACTAGATCCAAAATGCACCACTAGGTGCTTAATCAACATTAATGCAACCATTGAACTGTGGTCGTTGAATTAAGCCTAGTTCACACTTGAAAAAGAGCTCTGCAGAAGATCCAGCCTAGGACAAGCATTCATGTGGTCCATGGTTAGATTACATCGGGAAAATCTCCAAAAAGAATTATTAACCGCAACTAATGCTTTAATACATAGATTAACCTTAATATAAAAGAGTTTTTAATTACACCCTTTAAACGCTTGAAAAAACTTGTTCCAAGATTGAATAGAAATCGTCTAATTTGTTGAACTAATCATATATTTACAGGTGCGGTTTGTATAAAGCTGAGGCTCTAAACAATCAAAGAAAAACGCACCTTCAAATAATATCGAAAAATGTGGTTTCAATACTAAAAATCTTTGCGATACCCTTAAAATATATTTTCACATTTAATTATAAAATTTAAAGCTTCAAAAATAGTATAGACCGAGCAGATCTATGAAAGCTTGAAAATCTTGAAAATTTGTTGTCCAAAAATACGTTACAAGATACACTATTTTCAAAACGTGAAATCCATTTTTTTCTTATATCCATGCTTCTTAATGTTGAGATGATCATCAATATGAAGATATTTGGGCATCAAAATAACATCTTCTAGTGAAATTTTTTAGGTGAGTTTTAATTTGATTGTTTAGAGCCTTAGCTCTATGTAAATTTTTCCCTTTTTTTTACCCTCTATTTTTACTTTTGAAAGAAAAAAACTTTCCTGTTTTTTTTTATATTCTTTCTATTTTGACTTCATGGACCCAGTGATATTCTTTCTATTTTGAATTCGTGGACCCAGTTTCTATGAGTCCACGGACTCGTAGAAATGCGAGGATCAAAACCTATCATTCTTTTTCCGTTTCAAAAAAAAACAAAGAGGCCATTGGAAAAAAAAAATCGGCCATTATGCCTCCAATTGTCATAATTTTTCTGGAAGTAGACTAATTTGGCAGAAAATGGGCCAGAGTGGACCGCAGTTTTTAAATTTCACTTTCCCCATTTTGACTCCAATAGAATTAATAAATGGGCAGTTTACACAAATATAAATCTATAAAGTTCTCCTATATTTTCCCTTCTTTCTTTTTTTTTTTTACCAATTATATTTCCTATTTTATGTTCAAATGCGAATTTGGCAGAGTATTAAGTTTTTCAATTTTATTTTTTTCTGTACATCTCATTAGCTCAAATTTGTGGCGTGCATATTTCTCACCGTCCCTTACATCGAACATTATAAAAACAAGACTTTTAAAGAAGGGAAAAGTTTATATAGAGCCGGCGCACTCAACAATCAAATTGTTGCTTCTAAAAGTTCACTAGAAGATGTTATTTTGATGTCCAAATATTTTCAAATTGATAATCTCGACATCAAGATATATGGACATGAGAAAAAAATAGATTTCAACTTTTGGAAATAGTATATTTTATAACGTAATTTTCGACCGTTACTTTTCAAGTTTTCATAGATCTGTCGATCGACACTATTTTTGAAGCTTTAAAATTTATAAATAAATATGAAAATATATTTTAAGGCTATTACAAAGATTTCCATAATTGAAACCATATTTCTCGACATTATTTGAAGAATAGGCTCTAATTTAATTGTTTAAAGCAGGCTCTACACAAAACACACCCTTTAAAGAAATAACATAACTAAAATACCCCCAATACTTATAGGGATATTTTGGCTATTGTAATTATTGAACTACTTTTTTATATTTTTTCTTTTACAGCAGCGGCCAAAATTTCAGCTTAATCCAGTATATGAAGAATGAAATAAAATCAAAATGTATTGCATACTTTCAAAAAGTGGGATTTTTTTTTATTTTTTATTTTTTATTTTTTGTAGTTCAGTAGGGAAGACAAGCTCTTACCCGTTTTTTCAAATAGTTTAGGATAGAGTTTTTTTAAGGTGTTAGTGGGGTGGTGTTATTAGGGTGTGGGGTACTACCACCACAACCCAACCCTTTTCCCGACCAAAAGAAAAAGAAAAAGAAAAAGTGCAACTTGAGAGACAAATATGGAATATAGGAGTTTATCCTTGAATTCCAAAAAAAATTGGGACTTTTGGGTAAATTTACCTTTATAAAGTCTTCTCAAGAAAAGCCTCATGTTATTCATCCAATAAAAATAAATTTATAAAGAAGCATAAAAGATTTGGAGCTCTAGACTTCTAGTTTTTCACTTCTAATGGTTATAAAGATATACGGGAAAGGGGTTGCGGTCGTGGTGGTAACATCCCACACGTTAGTCACCACGTCGTGGTTTCTATTTCAACCACTAATGCCATCCGACTAATAACTTTAAAAAGCTAACTCCTAATCTACTTGACAAAATATGTCGGGCACTAATAACTTCAAAAAGCTACTCCTAATCTACTTGACAAAATTTGTAGGGCACTAATAACTTCAAAAAGCTAACTCCTAATCTAATTGATAAAATATGTAGGGGCATGTCTTCCCCATTGGATTACCAAATAAAAAATAAAAAAAATAGATATACGTGTATTTTCTAGTTTGTCTCCTTGTTTGTTTTGAAAACTATGTATTTGATATTTTGAAACCCAAAACCTCAAACTCGAAATGGCCTCCACAAACTGGGCTATCAGTGATTGAAGTCAATCCGCGTTGTTCTCCTCCTTCAATTTAGACCCGTAATCAACCTTCTACAAACTTCTATACAAGAACATGTATATAAAAGACACAAACAGCCATTAGCAGCCATACAGTAAAATAAGCATCACAAAGAGATGGCTAATTTTGCACCTATCTACATTGTTCTCATCATAATTGCCTATGTATTCGACTTCTTTGTCCTGATGTTAATACTGAGAGGAATTCTCCGTCCAAGATACCGAGGATCCGGTAGCGGTGTGCTGGACATTGAAGGTCAGGAGCATCAGCACCATGGAGATCATGGCGCCGGAGGTGGGTTTCCGGAGGTGGTGGTCATGGTCACGGGGCGCATGGAGATCATGGCGCCAGAGGTGGGTTTACGGGCGGCGGTGGAATAAGTCGTGACACAGGAGGAGGGGGATTTTCGGGTGCTAGTGGAGGTGTTATTTAAAAATTTGCTTCTTGTTGGACTTATAGTGAAGGGGTTGTATACAAAATCATATGGACTATATTGTTTACACGGTGTATGTACTACGTAGTCATCACCATCACTTATCAGTGATGGATGGTGAAATTTTTTATTTATTTCACTTGTACAAAGGGATGTATTACTCTCTTTTTTTTTTCTTTTCTTCTTTTTTTTTTAAGTTATTTTGAGAATTCCTTTTATAAGCATAATGATCGGTTCCTTCAAAAAATTGAAGTTTACCTAAATTTAATACCATGATTGAAATTGATGACATTCGGGATGGTTACCCCTTTTGCATGACGGGAATATTGTATCTGACATTTAATTATTTTCTACTGAACTTCAGAAGAGGAAATGTGTTAGCAGGGTTATCTAACATATGGTCCTGAATGGTGAAAATTTTAGCTCACTTTATTTTAATATCAGGTGATTCTTATTTATTTTACTTTGTTATTACCAATTTTAACAAGATCGGGGATTGTAATTCAATGCCCTGTCACCTATCTCATACATTGAACACAAAGAAGAGAGAGTCAAAAAAAAAAAAACCAGAGAGAGAGAATTAAGCTTACTTTGATGTTGTGATTTCATTGAGATTTCTCCCCCTAAGCAGTGGAAGAACCGGACATAGATTTTCTCTTAATTATTTCTCTCTACGTAGTTTGTTACCAATGGTTCTACAATGGTAGATCTCGAATATTGTATTGACAATTCTTTTTTTGTTAATTATTTCATTTGTTATTTTTCATTGGGTGTGGTTTTCATAAGGTTGCAACCTTAAACAATCCAATTAAGGTGGACCTTCAAATTTTATCATAAAAATATAATTGTAAAATATTCTAAAGATTATTTCAAAATCTATTTTTATATCTAATTATAAAATTTTAAATTCTAAATATAGTTAAAATCAAGTAGATCTATAAACATATGAAAATTTAAAAAATGGACGGTCTAGATAATATGTTGTAAGATGCACTATTTCTAAGTCTCAAAATCTTTTTATTTTTTATATTCATACATCTCAATGTTGAGATGATCAATCAGAAAGTTTTTAACATTAAAACAACTTTTTCAATTGATTTTTTAGGTACATCTATAGTTATACATTTTAAGGTTGCAACCTTATATAAACTTTTTCCTTTTTCATGTGTCTTTTCTATGTTTACAGTTTGGTACATATCATTATTTTGGGCCCGGTTTCTATAAGTCCATATAGAAATGAGGCGCCTCTTAATAATCTATTTTTGAGATAGATTTTTGGACTCAAATTTTAGGACATGTAATTTCTAATGTGGATATCATGAATATGAAAAAATAAAAGGAAAATATCTTCATACCCTGTATTTTCAAGTTTCATTTCTTGATAAACCCAATGTTCAAAATATATCTTTTAACCCCCTGACCACTTTAAACTTACTTTTTAACTTAAACAAATGTGAGAAAGACATGCTCTTTCTAACCCCCAATCTTTTCTCCCTCTTCACTTGTATACCCCAAACTTCTCTCTTTTTCTCTCTTCGTGTATCTCTCACTCTCTCTCCTCCCGTGTTTTTCCAAACATCTCTCTCTCCTCCGGTAACCTCTCACCTTCATGAAGCCCTTCTCTCTCTCTCTCTATATATATATATATATATATATATATAGAAGTATGAGAGGATGACTTTTAGAAAATGCATGTCTTTTTAGATTTGTTTGGTCTAAAAAAATAGCTTTAAATTAGCTCAGGAGATTAGAAAAAATAAAATCTACAATTTTTATGCCCCAAGATATCTTTTAAAACCTTGGGTGTATTGTGAAATAAAACCTAAAAATATGGGCTATGGGATATTTTTCCAAAATAAATACATTTTAGAAATTAGAAATAAGAATTTTATTAAGAAAATATTTGAACCGTTAGTCTCAATTGTTTTTAAATGGGCAACCTATTTGCATCCATCTTTAAGATGGATGTTTTATACATCTAGACTACATATGTAGAAATCCGGACCAACCCACATGAAACAATTTTCCCATTCTTTTTCTTGCTCTAATGTATTATTGTTGTGGGTAACTTGCCTAAGTCCAAATAGACTTAGGATTAACTCGCCCTCATCCTTTCCCCAAATTGGGTGCACAACTCAGCGATATAAAAAGTTTTGAATTTGAATTAAAATTTGTTGGATATTTTTATAATCCTTTTGTATATGATTTGGATGTATTTAATAAAGACTGACGAGTTTTTTTGCTATAGTTACTACGCTCATATTTTTCTCTTTTTCTAGGTTTTCTAAATGTCCCATATTTGAAATTGGTTTTTTCTAAATGCATTTGTTTCTCTATATAGTTTTAGAGAAATGATCATATAGGACCCTCCCCCACCCATGTGTGTAGGACCACAAAGGATCATCATTAAATTTGGCACGGATCTATAAAAAAGTCAAGTCCCACACCCATGGGATAACTTTTCTAGATCCATGCCAACTTTAATGGTGATCCTTTAAGATCCTACACACATAAGTAGGGGAGGGTCCTATAGGATCATTACTCATATTTTTAAAGCATGTTTTAAGCTTCTAAAGTTGTTTTAAGTTTAATTTTACTTTTAGCATATGATTTTTTCTTTTTTATGCTCTTTCTAATTTTTTTAGTTTTTGTACGGGCCAAAGGGCCATGCTTGGAGTCCTTCGACTCAACCGAGTAACTTGCCTCGGTTGTGAACATATATTTATAGTTTCGTTTATCTTTTTTCTTCGTTTATTTTTGTGCTTCTTCTCTCTCTAAATCTAATACTGCATGGAAAATCGTTTGTTTTTGTTAAATTTTTGTTTTTGTTTTTCAGTTTTTTTTATTTATTATTATTATTATTTTATTTTATTTTATTTTATTTTTTTTTTGTGCTTTTTCTCTCTGTACGTAGTTTGTTACAAAGTATTTCATTTTTCCTGCCCAAAGATATATATTATTGTTTTGTTTTGTGTTGATTTTTTCTGTTAGGTGTTTGTGAGTAATTGTGGATTAAAAAGGGCATAGCGTGATACCTGAACATACTTATTTAACTGTGAAGGACTTTGATCTTTTCCTCTATTTGCTTTTTGAGGTTGGGTTCGTCCTATTTGTACTTTTCTCAAATTTGATTTTTATCTTTCAGCTTTTTTGTATTGGAAAAGAATGTGTGATTGTGAATGATTTTTGTGGGGTTTCATCCATTTTTTCTTTCTTGAAAATTTATTTTTATTTTTTATTTCATTTGTGTATACATCATAGAATTTTGGATGGACCATTATTTTACATATTTTCAACGGTATCTACAATATAGCATTTTGAATGGACTGCTATTTTATATATTTGGATCTTTGCATTTTCTTTTAATTAATCACAATCTTATATTGAGAGCTTTTACTTTATTTTTTGTTCATTTGAAAAATAATCCTATACTTTGGTCCACAGTTCTTGTTATTTGCTAATTACTTGTTGAGTTTAGTATTGTTGTTGTTTCATTTTATGCTCCCAATAAATCTACAGTATGTTTTGTATTGTGACAATATAGTAAGCATTGTTATTGGATTTATTGGAAGTTTCAACAAAAAATTGTCAAGTATTACTCAAATGACACTAGTAAAACGATAAAACTATTGTCTAATGGCTTCAATTTATCTATACACTAGTTGCAAATCATAATCCTATATATTGTCAGCTTTACATATCGGATATTTTCAGTATATTTTTTTTAATCAAATTCGAAATATTCATGATTCTATAACTTACCTTATTTTTTGACGATTCGTATATATTTCCCAACTTGCTAACTAAGACATAGTAGACCAATTCTTGCGTGTACAAAATTTAGATGTTCAAGTGAGATAGAGATGGGCCATTATGGATCCAATTGTCATAATTCCAATGGCCGAAATTTCTTTGGATATATGCTCAAATAGGGCTAGCGTGGACTACATACTTTCAAAAAGTAGGAATTTTTTTTGGGTAATTCAGTGGGGAAGTTATTTTTAACGTGTTTGTGTGATGGTGTATGTAGGAATGAAAACCATAATGTAGTGACTAAGATGTGGGGGGGTGCTACTGCCACGATCCCAGCCCCTTTCCCGACCAAACACACACACATACAACAACAAAAACAAGTGATATGCAATGTAGGAATTTATGTTTAAATTCCAAAAAAATTTGGGACTTTTGGGTAAACTTTTTTTTATAAAGTCTTCTCAAGAAAAGCCTCACTGAATTCATCAATAAAAAAATAAAATTATAAGCAAGCATAAAAATTTGGAGCTCTAGACCTTGCGTTTTTCACTTCTAATGTTTATAAAGACACACGGAAAGGGGCTAGGGTCTTGGTGGTAGCACCCCAAGCCCTAGTCACCGCGTGGTTTTCATTCTCACTATTAGTAATAACTTCAAAAAGTTAACTCTTAATCTACTAGAAAAAATGAATAGGGACCAAACTTCCCCGCTGAATTAAAAAAAAAAAAAAAGGGAGGGAAAGGGAAAAAAATGAAGAGAACATACGTGTATTTTTTAGTTCGTCTCCTTGTATGTTTTGAAAAGTATGTATTTCATATTTTCAAACTCAAAACCTGAAACTTGAAATGATCTCCACAAACTTGGCTATCAGTGATTGAAGTCAATCCGCGTTGTTCTCCTCCTTTAATTTAGACCCGTAATCAACATTCTACGAACTTCTATACAGTGTCAACATTCCAAAAACATGTATATAAGGTGACAAACAGCCATACAGTAAACATAAGCATCACAAAGATATGGCTAATTCCCAACCTATCTACACTATTGCCATCATATTTGCCTCAGTGTTCGTCTTCTTTGCCTTGATATCAATACTGATCAGAATTCTCTGGCCAAGATACCGAGGATCCGGTGGCGGTGTTGGGTGGGACCATGGATATAATGGCGCTGGCGGTGGTCATCATGGTCATTGGG